GGCATAAAAAAGAACCTTATGTGGACTTAACCCATCCACGACAGTTCTTGATAAACGAGAAGTCCGAAGTTACTTGGGGCGCAAGTAATCAACCTACCTTCTAGTTTTCTTTCTATTATATCATGATTACCATAGAACGTTTGAGCATGGAATGGATTCTAATGGAAAGCCTCAAGGCCTACACCCAAGGCCCCACAAAGGCATCCATTTGGATTCATTCCGTTCAGCGATCTAAAGAGTCTAAGTATAAGAATGAACTCTGATGGGAAGCCTCAAGGCCTACACCTAAGGCCCACAAAGGCACCTATTTGGGTTCATTCTACTTCTTGGATTCGGGTAATCAGAAGTATAATAGTTAGAAAACTCCTACAATCACGAGAACAAATATGATGCGTTCGAGCACTGGTTTAGTTATTTATGGGAAGCCTCAAGGCCTACACCTAAGGCCTCACAAAGGCACCTGTTATAACTAACACGGTTTCTTGGATACATACATATATACAACTAAAGCACGACTACCATTTTACATCTGCCATGCTAAAGATGGCAGTGGCACGCCTGAGCACCTAAATGTTAACCTTGATTGTGAGCCTCAAGGCCTACACCCAATGCCCCACAAAGGCACCTCTCAAAGTTAACGCTGTCCTTCTCTTTCAGCCTTGCCCGAAGAGTCTTGCCCGAAGAGTCTTGCCCGACGAGACTTGCCCGACAACGCCCGACAGCGAAGCAGAAGCCCGACAACAGCCCTCAACCGGCGCCAACCTCCAGGGGAGCTGTGTGCTTGTCGGCCAGGAAACATCCCAGACGGAAATTCCTGACACGAACAATTATGAAATGCTTGTTCATGCAAATTTAATGAAGGACATTGAGCAAGAATGCATTGCGAAATAAGAAGAAAATGGAGAAGAAAAAGGCTGGTTAGAAAGGCAGGATATTTGACCGAGCGATTCCTATTACACGTCCAACATGATCAGTTTACAGGAAGTGGAGTTCTAGGCTTGAGGGGTGGATTTTATAGTTATCATTCTTCCTTACTAGGATAGTCGGATCTGAATTTGTTCCTTCAGGGGGATTTTTTGTTCGTTGCTGAGAACATTCATATCCAGCATCATTCCACAATCTCGTCAATTAATCAATTCATGAATCAAAGATGCACGATCTTGGCATTTAATTACGTTAATCAAACAATGCGATAACATATCATTTCACTAATTTAACCAAGAACTCTATATAATTCCCTACTTGGATTATGAATAATAACATGGTAATTCTAATTTGTATTCACAAGATCTATTGTGGGTAATTCTCATTCACTCGAATCTAGGAATCTAAGATAACCTTATGGAAATGAATAAGAGTAAGGATTCCAGCCCACTCAATGGAATCCAACAACATCGGGTTTCGGACCACTCAACGGAACCAAAATATCAAGTGGTTTCTCGTAATCTACCCAGACCTGTCACATGTAAAATCAATGCCTACATTATGGGAATGGTACATTGGTAAATCAGGCACTCAGATAAGCTGCAAGGCTCGGGTGAGTGACAATAATACAAGTATGTGATATTCAATAAAAACAAACCATCGATCACAATCTATAAACATCAAGTATAGAATCATGCTTTATGAAATCATAATCAAGTCGTTGAAAACTCCGAAGGAGTCACCCAGACATCCAACGCTTTTTCTAATTCAAACCATAAGATTCCCAAAAGCCATCATTCATATGAGCATTAAAAACTAGGGCTAGAGGGACACAGTTCGGCCGAAGCTTACATATGTAGCCAAACAAGAAGTGGCCCTCTATTGCGGATTAACCAAGCAGAGTCACTCATACGCATCTATTAGGCAGTGATCACCTATCGCAGATTAACCAAACATGATCACCCTTAAGTGTGTGTGTGTGTGTGGCCATACCAAAGATATAAGGATCGCCTATCTCAAATTACCCAAGCACGATCCATAGAAAATATGGTCCCCTATAGCGGATTAACCAAGCAGGACCAAGATAACTAAGTAGGTAGTGACCCTTTATCGCGGATTAACCAAGCAAAGTCACATCTACAGAACTGTTAGGCAGTGATCACTTATCGCAGATTAACCAAGCATAATCACTCATAAGTATGTATGGCCATAAGGATCGCCTATCACGGATTAACCAAGCACGATCCATAAATAATATGGTCCCTTATCGCAGATTAACCAAGCAGGACTACTAGTGACCCCCTATCGCGGATTAACCAAGTAGGGTCATGGTCTCCTACTAGCCCTTGATTTAACAAACATTTCAATATGCAATTCAAATCATTTTTTCACAAATATTACCAATCCATGAATCAATTCACATCTTAATAAAAATAGATCGATAACCAATTATAAAAGAATCACATTTTAACAGAAAACACATTTATAAACTAAGTCATATCAACAAAGGATATTAATATAAAGAATCGGGTAATCACCATATCACATATATTAAAGTCACTCACTGAGATAAGCCACAAAGCCTCACTGAGCCTCTATTAATACTAATTTTAACTAAATATTATGTTCTATAATGCATTAAGGTTTGGTGGCGATCCAACGGTTGGATTGTCGATTCATATTTTAATCAAGTAATGTATCGTAATGAAACTAACTTCAAATAATCAAATTACGTCATACAGACATCAATTATAGAATTAGGGCATCTAATTGAACTTAGGAAGACATCATTGGTCCAATCTTCCTTGCATTGCCATTCCTCTGATGGCTATCTTGTTGCCCCCAATGTGCACTCATTCCACATATTGGCTTTGGGCAGCAGGTTTGTTTCTATGTTCCTTTGTGATTTTCTAAAATTTTGTACCGTTTGTACTGTGTTAGTTATGAAATTTTCCCATTATTGCAGGATTTTATCTTTTAGCTAAGGTGGAAGAAGCTGCTGATAAAGTGATCTACGATTGGACTCATCATATTGTCAGCCGGCACACCCTTAAGCATTTGTGCGCTGCAATGGTTCCTGTATTCTTGACACTTATGCTTGCAAAGAGGACTGTTGAACCAGAGAGGTATGTCTTATTATCCCTTTTAAGTTGAATAAATTTTTGTTTCATGAATTGATACATGAGATTTCTTCAAAGTAAGCATCATGATGGAATTGGTTGAACTTTTCCACATCTGTTTAGCTTGGATGCACATTCTACATACATGTGCATATTAAATTTATAAATGTGACCATATCATGCTTAGATGCTTCCAACAGTTCCGGTTGAGGAGTCACGATAATCTTGGTTTCCGATTTCCTATTTCAGTACGTAGAAGATAACTTTTCACCTGTATTTGGACAGAACACAAGAAAGAAAAAGAAAATACAGCCGCACACTGACGTACTTGTTGGCGACACTCAACATGTAAAACCGATAATTGCAGGTTTGCTTCAAAGTAACTAAGGTATCGACACTTCTCATATAGTATATATAGAATTGAATAATCATACTAGTGATTTCGGCTGTGTTCACAGTGAATGTTCTGGTTTCCTGTGGTTCATGATCAATATTTGCTATCTTTGCACTGTGTTTTCTGTTTACATGGATGAAGGTTTTTGTTCGGAATTGTGTCGTGTTTATAAGCCGGGCGGTTTTTGTTCGGAATGTGTCGTGTTTATAAGCCGGGTTTACGTTCAGATGTGTGCGCGCATGACCAAAATATTTTCGCACCAAGCGATGCTTGTTTTACTATTACTTGTCTGGTGCATGCGTGATGTGTGCCTCCACAGTCAACAAGAAATTGGTGGTTCAGGAACTTCAGTTCAGTTCGATTGTGGCAACCCTAGTGGTTATGCTGCCGAACAAATTGTTAATCAATATAAGAGATTTTTCAGTATGCTCGAAACATGAGATAATATGTCACATGTTATTACACAATTGAAGGGAAACTTGGAAAAAATTTCCTCTAATTGTATGACGACATGATGTATACATTGAAATTTTTCTCAATCAGTGAAACTAAAGATTTTCAACCAGAATAAAAAGACATTAACCAAAATTTCATCCGAATTACGAAAAATACAACACTTTTTGTCACATGCCCTTTCATTCTGTAACTTTAATCTAACATTATGAAAAATATAGTACTCTTTGTCACATGCCATTTCATTCTTCAAATTTGCATTTGACTCATAAAAAATTAGGAAAACTAATGAAAATGGTTTGAAAACTTTGAGTTTTAACGATAAGGACAAAATAAAGGGTAAAGTGAATAGTAGCAGGTTTGACTTTTTAGTGTAAAAATGTGATTTTTCGTTAAAATGAACAGTACCGTGGGCTTTTCGTTAAAACTCCCTAAAAAATTTTATTTCGAAGTGGCAGGTTGATAACTATTTGATTTTTATTTTTTATTTTTTCGATGTATCAAAATCAAGATATTAAATATCGATGATATCGGAAATATCGGTAGTCCAAAAACACGGAAATTTCGATGGAAATATCGGGATATTATCGATATTGATAAAAATTGAATAAAAACCACGGAAATTGTAAGAAAAACTTGGAAATTTTTATTGAAACTTTGCAGGATGTTTATTTAGTCAATTATCTATTAGTTTATCACAAAAAATTGGAAGGAAATGCATTGCATGATAGATATAACTGATTTAAGTTGATTATATAACGAGCTGGCAAACATTGTGATTGTAGAAAATATGTAGTAATTAATGAAAGAAATTTAAACACACCATAATCATTTATATATAATGAATTAGTACAATATTTTACACTTTATACATTGCATGGTAAGATACACGAGTGACCTAGCAAAGTCTAAAATATTGATGATATCGGAAATATCGGATATTTTAGACCATGATCAAAATGAAATAGTTATAAAACGATATCTAATTTTTTTTTATTTTTTTTGGGTGGAAATGGAAAACAGTTGTTCATCAAACGGGCCCATAAAAAAATAAAATAAAATAAAGATTTTTCAATTATCCGAAGAAGCGGGAAAACATTCAGTTCCATTTCCGCTTTCTATACCTTGAGCTTTTCTTCCCTCGCCACTCGCCGCGAGTACCAAGTTTCTGAAAGATTTGGGGAAGGGAAGAAATGTCGAAGTTTGAGTACCCGAAGCTTACTCGCCCCGACATCGTCACAATCCTCGCCGACGCTCACATCGTCGCTATTTCCGACCGCGATCTCGTCAACCCCAACCCTGATTTCGTCGCCGACCTCTACACCCGCATCCTCGTCTCCCTCGACTTCTTCCACGAGTACTTCTCTCTCCTTATACCCTCAATTTCCCTAATTTTTCCACTCCGTTAGAAATTCAAATCCCTAATTTTCGTGTTTTTAATTTCAATGGGTATATGTGGATTTGCATTTTCCAGTAATTTTTCGTATTTTCAGTAGTTAAAGAGATGGGTTTGAACCCGGTTTGATTCGTGTTCGAACAATGAAGCATAATCAATGTTTAGGGCCGAGCGATAAGCATTTTGTTTTCAGTTTTCAGTTTTTTATTTTTATTTTAATTTGTGAACTCGTTTGGTAACTAACAAAACGAAATGGTCATCAAACAGCCGCTTATTTTTTTCAAAATTTTATGTTTGGTACTGGAGAATAGAGAGTCTGAACTCCAAACCTTCATGGGGTTTCTGATTTATGCAGGGAAGATTTTGGGCAGGTTGAGTTTTCGGCCTTGGAGCAGCTCCAGAACCCTGATTTTCACATGGACTCGGCCCGGACCATGAAGCTATGCAACAGAATCAAGGAAGTGGTGGCTTTAGTAGATTGTCAAAGAGATTTACCTTAAAAGTTCTCGTAAAACCTGAGACGGATCGGACTGAATATTTTGTCAGTGCACTTCTCATTTTCTCTCTTCACAGCTAAGATTTGGTGTTGTTAGTTATTTGTTTCAAGGAAGCACAAATCAAACTTCACCTGAAGGACAATAGTTCTTCCCATTTCGAACATAATGGAAAAGAGAACATGTTTCACATATGAAAAGCTCAACTGTCTGGTTTAAATAGTTCTATCATAATTGCTTCTCACACATGATAGCTGTTTATGTTACGTATCAGAGAAACAAAAATGAATATCCTTACCCAAGTCGTGGATCAATTAACTGACATAGATGAGCGACGCAAAGGATGGGAGGATAAGATTTCCCAGGTAACTTTAATATAAAAAAGGTTCCTTTAATAAACTAAAAGGTTTAATGTCGAAGATGCGTCAATTTCACTAGATTTTTGTGTTGTAGTTGAATGCAGAGATTGCGGACTACAATGAAGCAAGAGAAAAGAAGTTGCCTCTTGTTCAGGAGGTAGATGCAAAAGTTAAAGAATTGCACCAAACCGTTTCAGGCCTTAACAATCAGCAAAAGTCACTGAGAACTTCTCGTCAGAAGTTGAAGGAGAAGATCGGAGAAATAGAGGAAAAGGTTAGATTATTGCCTGCTTGGCTAACTCGTATTACTTTAGTCTAAAGAAGGCTTTGAAATTGACACTATTCAAATGAACAGTCATTTGGGCCGAATTTCATTTTATTTACGAGGCTACCACTGACTGCCGTTGATCATGATGCCCGCGTGTTGATGATCGTGGAAAGGCAGGGTGCGATCGTCACTTTACCATTCTCTTCCTCCCCTCTTTCTCTCTCCATCAGATCCCATTCTCTTCATCACTTTCTTTCTCTCTCCCTCAGTTTCAATCTGCTCACCTAAAATCCCCAGATCGAACATCCTCCATCTCAAATAAAAAAACCTTCCTTAATCATGGATTTTTGTTGAGGTAATTTGATTGTTTCCTCTTCTGTAATTTGTTTCTGTTAGTTTATTGTTCTTGAATTTTAATTTTTCTGTTTTCCAACTTGGAAGAGTCGACCTTCAGGTGATAAAATCGTGATGTGACCATCGTATTATCTCTCACAGCTCACAACGATGAAATCGCACCACGACCAATGTCGGGTAAGCTATCGACTACCCCTCCCCATCTTCTTTTTCTTCTTCCGCTTCTCCCTGCGCATTCCATTTTGACTGTATGTGTTTTGGATGCATCTTGATTTCCTTAGTATGATTAGACGGTTCGGATGCGCCTAATGAACAAACCTAATTTGCCTCGCGCGTTCAGTCATCACCTTCCTTCGTCTAAAACCTCACACAGAGACAGAGCTCCCCCAAAACCCTAAACGCCCAAAGGTAATTTTGTTTAATTTTTCAATTAGTTTTAATTATCTGACTAATCCCTAGCATAGATTCACTCTCTCTTTACTCTAAATGCGTATAATTTTTTTTGTTTTAATTTTTTGCAGTATTAATCACGAAGTTACGGAGCTGAAATTGCAAACGCTATCATGGCTCACTTCAAAAATGTAAGCTTGAAATTTTTAGGTTCTGTTTGGTTGTTGAGAAAACTGAATCAACGAGGTTTTTTTTTTGTTAATTATCTCGGAAACATAGTTGATTGTTGTGTTTCTGAAAATTTGAAAACAGAAGAAGGTGTTTGTGAATTTGGTTTCGACGAAGCATATGGACCATATCACAGGGGATAAAATCCCAAAGAGCTTTGTTTTCCAGACGCAAGTTGCCTGGTCCTCTGAATCAGCTTCAAGATGATTTGAGAAAACTGATGCTTCCTTACACTGCCCTTAAGCTTAAGGTATGCAAATATTCATTCCGGTCTTAATATGTTTTGCAATGCTTTATGATATTTGATTTGTTTAAATTTTAATTGATTTGAAGAGCTGATGAAAATCAGAAGTAAGAATCAGAAGTAAAGATCCGCAATGTTTTTACAGGAGAAGAGGCAGAACAATCTTAGAAACATTTTGGTTGTGGTTGGGCCTATGGGGGTTACACATTTCCTCATGTTGTCAAAAACTCCAACTGCGCCATACCTTAGGGTTGCGAGGGCACCTCAAGGCTCAACGATATTTTCATAAGATATGCAAAGGGTTCCATTTCTATTGTCTTTGTGGGTTTTTAGGGGTGCAGATCTTGATTGACAAGGAAGAATAGAAATGGATATAACAACAGTGAGACCAAATGGGAGATCCAATAAAAAAAAAAAACAGCAATGGATAAACCGAGGCCTATAGATTCCAATTGCCTTACAACCGCCGCCAGAGAGGTCGGATTGTCCAAAGCGCTGCCTCTTCCTCCAGCAACACCGTTGTGTCAGATGTTAAGCTGCAGCTCCAGGAGGAGGACCACAGCAATGGCTTCAATCCCATTTCCACTTTTGCTTCAGGTGAGTTTTTTAAGCACTTTTGCCAAAAATCTGCTTATTTACTTGGTTTTTGTGGGTTTTATTAAAATCGTATGGTTGTTGTTGTAGCGTAAAAAAGTTTGCATCTTTGAATTGATATTTGGAGCAACATACGGTATTTGGATTTAGGGTTGTATAGAAATTGAGTAATTGAAATTTATTAGATATCCAATGGAAAATTTCCACTTATTAGATATCCAGTTTGATATTTGGCGGGTAAATTTCCATTCTTTGGATTAGGGTGCACACCAATTGATAAGAGGATAAGTCAGAAATGGAGTGATGAAATGTATTAACTTTTATGACTAATTTCCAAAGAAATTGCAATCTGCCAATCTAAAACGTCAGTTATTTAATATCCGGTTTCATTTATAGTATAAAAGGCAATGGATAAGAGAGATGATGGTTAAATTTGTATTTGTTATGTTGACTATTTGAAGTCTAGAATCTTTAAGTTAATATATTTGACGTGCTGCTATAATTCAATTTCTCTTTTATGTGTTCGAGTGTGGTTCGAATTTGCCAGGAATGTGTCCGGTGAATGGGATGGCCATGGAGCAGACTTTACAAGGGAAGGGTGCCCAATAAAACTTCCCGAGAATGTTGTACCTGCAGCTTACAGGGAGTGGGAGGTTAAGGTTTTCGATTGGCAGACTCAATGCCCCACTCTTGCTAACCCAGATGAGCACATTCTTTTATACAAGAATATAGAGCTACTTCCTGCTGTTGGATGTGAAGCTAATGCTGCCACTCGATGACTCCAGAGATTGTTGATGATCCATTCCAAACTATGTGAGTTTTCAAGGTAAATAATCACTCACCTTATCCTTTTCCACTTACTAGGATTTTCTTAATTTGAATTTTTTTATCAGTTTGATTCAAATTAGTTTTTTTATTTTCCTTTAAATAATTTGGAATTAGGCCTTTTATTTTGTGCATTTTCTTTGTTATTTCATCCTCAGTTGAAAAGTGGAAGTCCGAACTTATAGCTTAGAGAAAAACCCTTGGTTGAATCAAATACTGGTATGGTCCCTCACATGAGAAAAAAAAAACCAATTTTTTTTTCCTTAAAATTTTTGTTTTTATTAATTTTTTTCCTTCCCAGACCCTGCGTAAAGCGGGAGCCTTGTGCACTGGGTACGACCTTATTATTTTTTTTCCTTCCGCAAATTGTAGTTTTTCTTTGTTGCATTTGTTTGCTACCCTCCACAATGAACGACCTGCTAAAGCTAATGTATTTGGTTTGAAAAGAACAAGACTAATTTTGTCATTAGTATATGCATTTTCACATCAATGTAAACTGACTGATGCAGAAGAGCTAGCCAATTTAACATGAGCGGATATGAGGGAATCTGATTTTAGTGGTTCTACTTTCAATGGTGCATACATGGAGAAAGCTGTCACGTATAAGGCAAACTTTGAGGTAAGAGCTTCGCACTGTACAAATAGATACTAAGATGTGAACGAAGCATAAATAGTCTTAGCTACCTATCCTCCAGTTTATGTTTGCATCATGAGATCACCCAAAAGACAAAACCCACCTTCATTGTCAGTTCATTTCCATACAAGTTATCCCGGATTGTTAAGCATTTAGGCCATGCTAAATATGAAGGACTAGATTACACTTGAAGGATTAAGAAAGGGTTGATGTCTAAAGCGTATCCCTAATCTTATCCCCACTAATCCCTTTAAAAATTGTAAGCAGACGTATTGAAATTTATGTATATAACTTTTTTTTTAAGAACAGATGTAAATTAGAATCATACTTGGGTTAACATACTGGTGGTATATGATTGAACGATGCTAAAGGCTAAGTATGAACTTATACTGGTGGTATATGAGGGAAGAGCACTGTGGCGTGTGCTTTGAGTGGGAGTTTGTACCGCAGGGGAAGCTGTTGTACATTCTTGATGGGGACAATGTCAGGCATGGCTTGAATTGCGACCTTAGTTTTAAAGCCGAAAATCGTGCAGAGAACATTTGGAGGATTGGTAGTATGTGTATGCCTCTTTTTAGATTAACTAGACCCTCTTTATAGATTAACTATGGCTTTCTGCTTCATTATGTATTCATGAAACTAATCTCTGCAGTTTTTCAATTCATTTGGGGTATTTGTGATTTTGAATGACACTAAAATTATTTATGGGTTATAGGAACCACCGGTTAAGAAAATGGGTCCAAATTCAGAGCTGCATTTTTCTTCCTTCAAAATAAGAAGAAAACATTTCCTCAACTCCATATTTTAGCACCTCAGCTCTAAAGCCTTCTATTTCTTTCTGTTTCTTCAGAGCTAATTTACCCATATTTTATTTGTAAAGTGAAAGATTGGATTTCACATGTCTGAGTACTTACGGTTTTGTACAATACAAACTTGAGCTTATTGATCCAAATGGCTAGAACAGTATACTCAACCAATTTCATATCCTCTTGGCCAAATAAGAGTATAATACTTGCCACTAAGAAAAATACTTCTATAATAGCAATGTGTTGGTGTGTGGCATGCTCTAATTAGAGATATTTTTGTGTTATAATAAGAAAGCCACAAAGAGAGAGAGAGCGTTTGTTTATTTGGATTTGGTTAATGTTTCAATCGTAAATGTGATGATAGAATGAAAGCTGAGGACACACAAATAATAAATGTAGTTTGGAATTTGTAAGTTACAAGCTTATGGAAAGTAAGCTTTTGTAGTTGTTTAATGACATAGTCAAAGAGTTGTCCATCTAATGTTTACTCTACAATGGCTGTCAATGAACACTATAGTCTCATTCCGTGGGAGAAATTTCAAAGTAAGATGTTAATGTCTGAAACAAGCCTATGTTGAAATTTATTTCATCGTTTTGTTTTTTGTATGATATATTTATTGTTGAAATTTTCTTACTACTTTGTTTTATAAAAGATTCAGGATGGGGATAATTTAGCTTTCACCTCTCCCAAACCCTGCGTAAAGCGGGAGCCTTGTGCACTGGGTACGACCTTTTTTGTTTGCAGGATCAACTTGGGAAAGAACAGAGGAGAGCACAAGTATTATCAATTTATTTGCTATAGTATTGTCCCTCTTCCTCTGGCCTCCTGAAGTGTTTCCATTCCAGTGTCACCATCTTTTGTTTCATTCATTTGTAGAATATATTCTTCTTTTTTCTATGCCTTTATTACCTCCTTTTAACTTTGATTATTTGTACTTGATGAGTATTATTAGACCCATTCTCAAAAATTTGCATCCCCTGCTTCTTTCTTATGGTCCTTATACTTAAACATGTGCAAGTTTGTATTTTTCTGATGGATTGGACTGTTGGGAACTTAGGTACTTTTACTTTTTATATATTTTTGTTGGGTTTTTTCTTTTTCGGAAAATGAGTATTTGATTAATCGCTTGAGTTGCGCTTTCAAAAGGACTGTTAGAAGTTTTGTGTCAATTTGGTTGTGATGGTAAGATTACTTTATGTAACATTATGTTGTGGCATGTGAGTGTTGAACTTTTTTCTTAATTTAATTTCGGAAAGAAATGCGTTTAACAGTAGTCCTATATGATGAAGTTAGCATCCTTATAAGTTGGGAACCTAAAACAATAGTGGTGTACCCATAAATTCCTAATTTTCTCTGCCTCCTTCCCCTCTACTTGCATCAGTTGTGACTTATTTTCTTTTTTGGTTCTATCTCAGGAGTTTGTTAGGGAGAAAGTTCATGAATGAAAGAAATCTAATGGAGAGGTATTTTCTTTTTGGCACATATCATGAATTATGTTTGGGTGTTTAAACAATATTTGCCTAAAAGTATACTCTGTTTTTAGTGGTATTTCAAATAAGGTAACTTCCCCAAACATTGATATTTTGGTTTTCTATTGGCATGTGTGAAACCAGCCTGATTCAGGTTACAAGGTTGAGGGTTGCGGATTGTTGTCATATTGTGGATAGTTAATCATGTTCAATAACCTTAGTTACTGGGCCATTCACTTAAATTTTGGTTTCAAGTTGTAGAGAGACTGCTTTTCATTCTTTTTCAAAATAAGCTTTCATTACAGCTTCAGTTTCACATCATTCATCACCGGATTTGCTAATATAAGTTTTTATTAAGCTTTCTCAAAATATATTGTTGCTTTGTGATGAATGAGTTATCTTTTGCATATAAGATTTTTTGTTTCTCGATACTATGTCTAAAATGGAGATTTTTGAGTAAAACGTTGATCCAGTATGTGCGAGTTGTGATTTTGTAGTCTTTATATGTTTCCAGATAAAAGTTAGGATCTGCAGAGATTAAAAAGTAAAAAAGGGCGAAGGAAAGCGATGTTGACTCACGAAAGATGGTTCAAATCTCTGTTGGAGGTACATTGGATTTATGTTTCTGATGTGTTAAGTACATTGTTAGAACTATAGATTTGGATTGAACTTAATGTTGTCCGTGTGTATATTTAAATATGTGTGTATATAGATATGCGTGCGTATAGATTTATACACAAGGGGAAGATGGATGGATAGGTGTATGCTTAGTCCGTAAAAGAAGAGAAAACGAAAACCACACCAAACAACTCGCATTTAAAGCTCTTTTTCTTTTTCCCTTTTGACATAAATCTCTCTTTGTTAGATTGCTAGGGGGCTGATTCTTTCTCGAATTTGTGTGCACAAAAAATGGTTTAGTATATATGTGAAGGGGATGAGAGAAGGCAGATATGCAAATGTTGTATCAGAGATAATTCCTTTACAGAGTTCGGTGCTTACGTTTGTAGCTTTAAGATCGGTGGGGATGTTTCATAACATTTAAGGATCCTCAATTCCAATGTGTTTCATAACAATGAAGGATCCCCGATTCTACTATCAGTGTGGATGTTTCATAACATTGAAGGATCCCATATTTCAGTGTGGATGTTTCATTGTACAATGTGTTTATATGTCATCTCATTTGAATGTACATAAAAGCAAAATTGCTTATCTTATCGATTTCATTTACTCATGTATCCTGTATTTGTTCATAATTGTGTTGAATTTATTCAACTTAAATGTGTTTTATTCATCTGATTACGCCTGAAACAGTTGGTTCTCGCAGCAACGCGCGAGCTTTTTTTCTAGTATGCTCTAAATAACATAAAAATACACAAATAAATTTTAAACCCTGGTAGGTTAGCTTTTGTAATTGCTGCAGATTAAGTAATTGGTAGTGTTGAATTGTTAAGAATTTGACGAGGAGCAAATTTAAGAGGTGAGTTATTTTGTTGTGAAGATTGACAGGCAGGCAATAAAATAACTATAAAGTAAAGTGTGAGATTAGAATAAATTACTCGGGTCCTCTTTACTCTTTGTGAAATCCACCAAAAGTAATTTAATGATCTTCCACTCGTATTTGTTAGCATGGGTTTCTTATGCTTGATTGGGCCCCTTATTTGACTGAAGTTGGGCTTACTACTTGTCTATTTTAAATGCAACTGTTTCCATTGTCCGTGGGTGCGTGTGCATGTGGTTGCTCCCCAAAACTCTAACCTTATGTATGTAGGAGGGAGAGTAGATGGGCCAACATAGATCAATCCTTCCGAAGTGTTAGGATTGAAGAAGCGATACAACAGAAATGTTTTAAAACTTCCTTTTGAAGTACAATTACTCCCACTGCTTATTTTCGAGTAGAGTGTTTTAATTTATTTGTTGAGTTAGAAGAGTTTTCATATTTCAGTCCCTCCTATTTATAGGCTACGTTCTTTCCATACTCCTGGCCATCAATCCGTATAGACGTTTTCAAGCTACACCCATCTCTCCCACGATAAATATCAAAATATTCTTGATATTCCACACCCATCAAACCACAATCTCTCATGGTCTCCTTATGCCATAAATCTTCATCTTTTAAATGTAGCTTTATTGTAATTTTCAAACTATTGGAGATGTATCCCACACGTCAAAGAGATCTATCAAACCATGATGGTTTTATCCCATCAACATGTGGTTGACAGTTAGAACTTAGAAGATTACCACATGCTAGTCATTCTCCAACCACTTACGTACTTCACCTCACCATCAACCCGAAGATTTCTAATAAGGAGTATGATTCTCTTATCTCTTCCCTCATCTTTCCTCTTCTATTTTCATTTTTTTGTCCTTTTTTCTTAAAAAAAAATTTGTGGTGAAAAAATTGTTAATTAAACCCTCGTGGTGAGCCTTGTTAGCAATTGAGGTCCAAATCCAAACTTCCGTTAGTCTTTCGTTATGTTTGGATAAATTCTATAGATGTAAATAAAAAATAGGTTGCCTTACAATATACATTGTTGATGCACAAAATCAGTGAGGACTTTGGTACAACAGAAAATGTTAAGTTTGTAACCTTCGCTAGATTGCTCTGGTCACTAGTGTGGATAAGTATGTAAATGGATAGAGACAGGGAAGCAAACACAAGATGTACGTGGTTCACCCAGATTGGCTACGTTCACGGAGTAGAGGAGTTCTCATTAATTGTGAAGGGTTTACACAAGTACATAGGTTCAAGCTCTCCTTTAGTGAGTACAAGTGAATGATTTAGTACAAATGATGTTACGAAATATTGTGGGAGAATGATCTCCTTTTATAGAAGAGTTTCTAGCTTTGTTCTGACATTGACACGTGTCGTGTTGTGATTGGCTTCTGATGTTGACACATGTTGCGCTGTGATTGGCTTCTGATGTCGACACGTGTTGCATTGTGATTGGCCTCCTGGTTGGAGGGAAACTCTTATGGGTCCTTGACGGTATAACGTTGACCGGTACTCAGTAGTTTCGGGATTGGTCAAGTATGGTACAAACATACATTATACTTATTTCAAGAATATAGAGGTACAAATTCTATGTTTGGGTAATACATATAAGACTATTAGTAAAAGCTTAGTGTGTATTTATAAATTCATAAGACTATTAATCTTTTTTATTTTTTGTTGAAATGCTTGTGATAAATCATTTTAAGTTGTCTTCTAATGAAAAAAGTTGTCTTTCACGTGACACTTGAGCAATAAATTCAAAACTAGTAAATTCAAAGAATAATAATATAAATAAACTATTGGAGGAGCTATGTTTAACTCATTTGGTTGGAGATGATATATGAATAGGATATGATACTATTCAATAAAAAATAATTTCTTGTAGGGTTATAATTCTGGACTGAGCTATGTTTAGCCCCCTTCTGTTAGAGATGGTCTAATGTGGACCATGATATACCTAGTTGGTGGGTTTTGAATATAAAGGTTGGGATGGGGTTGCATTGGTCATAGTTTGAGCTTGGAGGTGGCGAGGGCTTAATATTTTTCGATCTTCATTTTTGTTTTCTATTGAGCTTGGAAATATATATATATATATATATATATATATATATATATATATTAATTTGAGTAATGCTTGGTAGGCTAAATTTGAAGACTAAATTTGCAAACCAAATGATATGTCACCAATATAAAATAAGTATGTTAATCAACACTCAAGTAATAATCCAATCATCAACTTCCATGTTATTTAATTTACAAAAAATTAATCTATAAATTTAATATTCCTAGCATTACTCTATTAATTTACACCTACTTTCAATGGTTTGAATAATGTGACTACTAGCTTTTTTTCTTAATTTATATGCATTATTTTATTCAAATTTTATTTATCAGTTGTAAAATACTAACTAAACAGTTTAGAGCTCACAAAAACCATGAAGCCAGCAGATACGTTCAACTGCTCAATTCCCTATAAACATGCTTAACATTGACTAATTAATACGGTTGAGAACGGTTTGGTTCCATTTTCCCCCCGCCCCCCCAAAAAAAATCGAAAATCAAATCAAATAGTAGAACTACTTCGGTTCAGACTCCATGTTTGATCAAATTCAATTGGGGGGAGAGATGAGAAGGAAACATATAAAACGTATGAAGAAAAGAAGAGCAAGGGAAAAGAAGAGCAAGGGAAAAGAGACAAGAGAAGAGAGAGAGAAGGAAAGACGAGAGCGGACTCGTAATCTCTACTATTATAAAGCCAAGTCTCTGCTTTGGTGCAACATGCTTCAACAAAATTACTCTCTTTGTACGAGCTACAAAATTACTACACATGTGCTTGTGTGTAGGGGTGGATTTTTTTGTCAAATTGCCATGCCAATCGAATTGCCAACCGTGCCATATCGATTTTGTGCCAAATTTTTTGTACCAATCGGTAATGGTACGGTATTGGTAATGGATACCATTACCACGGTATTACCGTACCATACCGAAAATACAATATAATTTATAATTTATATAATACATAATTATATAACACATATTTATAATATTCCAATAATTTGAAAATAAAACCCTACTTATATTATCATTGTTGTTGATGACTTTGATCTCTTAAAATTATGGAAATCAAACACAAAAGAGTTCCTAATTCTTTCACAAATAGCCAAAATATCTTTGTAACCCCCACTTCTACTCTTGCTAGTGAAAATACATTTAGTCTAGGGAGGAGGGTTGTGAACCCTTTTAGGGTATCCTTAACTCCTAAAATAATGGAGGCACTAGTGTGTACTAATGGTTGGCTTAGGGCAGGTGAAGTAAACTTCTACAAGGACCAACGGAAGATGTGCTTCAATTTTACAAGGTAATAGAAGAAGAGAAAACAAAAAAGATATGCTTTAATTTTTTTAGTAAATTTGTTATTAAATGGTTTTCAACTTTAATTCTTCTTGCTACTAATTAATATGTTTTCTTTGTTTGTAATGTAGGCTTGACACAAACTCAATCTTCTACAAGTTCAATGCCTCCTCCAAAAGCTTCGACATCTCAAGCTTGAATAACTGATCAATGAATTCTCTTTTTTGAAGTTTACTTCCAATTTTCATTTGGTTTGAAACTTTAATTTCTATTTGGATTGTTAACTTCTATTTGTTTTGGTTCGTAACTTCTATTTGGATTGTAAGCTTAATTTTCATGATGAATCTTGATGCTTCATTTGAATTATTATGTGTGTGAATTGTGAATGATGAATAATAGATGAATTTAATCTATAATGTATGAGATAAAGGTACAAAAAAAAAGTTTTGCCCTTGAATTGGGTTAAAAAAACAAAAACATATTTTGTCCCAAAACAAAATGGCAATTACCATTGTCATACCATGCCAACCAAACTTTTGGCAATACCGAACTTAGGTATACCGAAAGTTTGGTATGGTAATGGTAATAGATTTTACCAAACCAAAAGTTTAGTACGGTAATTGGTACAAGGGTTTTGGTACGGTAACCGTACCGAACCCACCCCTAGTTGTGTGAATCATTTATGTGCGAGCTACAAAAAAAAAAACTTACAGTAAATTAGGCTAAAATCAATTGGAATTTATAATTATGCAAAAGAAGAAAAAGAAATGTCATTAGACGCTCAAAAATTGTGTGATGCTTTTTAATTTAGACGGACATCTCACGTTTCACTTCTATATGAGAGTGTCAATTATATGATCAATTTTGCAAGTACAATTAATGTAAAAGGAAATCCTCTTGTGTGAATGTGTCAAGGGAGAAATTAATTTATTTGGACACAGAAAACCGAAGCCTACAAGCAAAGAGATATAATACAAACATGTGAGAAAATATCACCTTTAAGTTTCGTGAGTGAAAACAAATGAGCTAACTATCTAGGGTTGTCTCCCCTTCCAATTTTTCTCCTCTTATGTCCCCTCCTCTCACATTTTCGTTGTATTTCTCTCTTTATAAAGAAGGAAACACAAGATGTTGACGTAGCTTAATCGTGGTCGTTCAAAGAGGAGGGGAGGAAGGGGAGAGAATCCTAGTTCCTTAGAAAATGGCCTCTCTTTTATTGTTATACATTGCATCAAGTTGTGAAAATTATTTGGAAATTTGTTTAAAGCGATAAAAGTTAGAGAATTGAGTCCCGAAGTGGAGATATAACAAAATAATATAAATAATAAGAGAGTTTTTTTACACGAATATTATCGAAGACTTTAATGATAAAACCCAAGATCTAATAAGGGTTTTTTTATTAACACCCCACAATTTGATGAAAACACTCCATAATCAAAATTTTCTTCTATAATTCCAAATTTACCCTTCATTTAAACCTGCATAAAATAAAACTCCCCAGTCCATCACCATTGTTTAGATCCTCGCCTTTTATTTGTACTGTTTACATTTTCTCAACATCATTATAATCATCGTTGTACTTATTTTTGTTCTTTTTCTTTTGCATGATATTCATATCAATTTTCAATTTGAGAACTATACCAAGTCCAACTAGGAATTCCCAAGCAAGGATATGAATATTATCCAGAAGAAAAAGTACAAAATAAGAACAAAACCCTAATGCAGTAGCGTGAAACCTGGATAATAGGATATGATTTTAATTTCAAGATCATTATCAAAAGCAATTAGCTATGAATGAACTCCTAATACACTTTCTAGAAACATGTAGAAAAAGCTCCTAGAAAACAGGGTACATGCAATGCTCTTATTGCCTCTCCAAAGGTTCAGATGATCCGAAGTTTCATACTTTGATAGGGTTGGTTGTGAGATTTTTTTTTTTTATTTTGGGAAGGTTGGGTGGATTTAACAAAAAGAAGTGTAAAACTGGAATTATTGGGAAATTTTTTAAATGTGGGGTGCATTCAACAAATTATGGGGTGTTAATAAAACAACCCTCTAATAATTGATGGTTAAATTGAGATAATATCGACGTTATTTGTGGTGGACCATAATAAAGTTTATCAATAAACACATTCAAAATGTTTCTCACAATGTCAAAATTCTTTCTAGTGAACGATGTGGTTGATATTTTATGGATCAAAGTCCCCACCGACCACCCCCCATGTACGTGACAAAAGCATGTTGGACCCGTCATACAGTTTCCCCCCCCCCAGATTTGGATCCTCTCCTGAGCAGGAGATCAGGATCCTCGGGATCAAACAACATGGACCGTTAGATTTTGATCTAATAGCTACAAACAGGAAGTCCTTCTAAAAGTTATAATAATTATAACCGTTGGATTAAAATCCAACGGTCCATGTTGTTTGATCTCGAGGATCATGATCTCTTGCTCAGGAGAGGATCCAAATCCTTCCCCCCCATCCCCCATGTACGTGATACAGACGCCTTGAGTTCCCAGATGACCTGTCATATAGCTTCCCCCCCCCCCAAAAAAACCCCATGTACGTGATACAGACGCCTCGAGTTCCCAAATGCATCACGGTTGTGCCTCTTATAACACATGATGTACCGTTCCTGTTCCGAATACATGAAAAAATATCTCCTCAAGTGAACAGGACTAGGTACGCTGTATTATTTGCTTCACTGCCGTGTGTATAAATTATCTCTCAGCCATAACGCAAGCATTTGGAAATATATATTGACTGACACCTACTTTCAATTGTTACGAAAATTTATCTTAATCTATATGCGTTATTTTATTTTATTTTTTATTTATCAGTTGTAAATCTAAAATATTAACTAAACAATTTAGAGATCACAAAGAGCATGAAGTCAGCAGATTTATTCAAATCCCTATAAACATGTTTAAACACTAACTAATTACAGGTGAGAACGGTTTGGTTCGATTTGGTTCATCCCAAAAAATCACAAATAAAATTAAATAGTATAACTAGTTCGGTTCAGATTCAGCTCAGTTTGATCAGTTTTGTTCGATTTGGGGAAGAGATGAAAATGGAACAGTGAATATGTAAGAAGAAAAGAAAAGGGGAAGTGAAGAGCAAGGGAAAAGAGACAACAGATGCAAACGAGAAGAGATAAAGTAGGGAAGAGGAGAGCGGGATCATAATCTCTACTATTATAAAGCCAAGCCTCTACTTCAACAAAAATAAATGGATGCCTCTGATAAAAAAATAATAATAATAAAAAAAAAAGCCCTCTATTTCCGAGCTACGTACAAATTACTCCAAATGCTTATGTGCGAGCTACAAAATATTTACCATAAATTAGGCTAAAATCAAATATTGAGATTTATACTCACACAAAAAGAGAAAAATTAAGAAACGTCATTTAGACATTCGAAGTTAGCGTCACACTCTTTAGTTTAGACAGTGTGTCTCACATTTCATTCTATTTGAGAGTGTGTCAACAATATGGTCAATTTGTAACTACAATTATCGCAAAAGGAAATTCCCTTGTGTGATTGTGTCAATAGAGAAGTTTATTGTTGTTGCGCTGTATTCTAAAGCTAGAAAGAGAGAAAAATGAAGAACCTAAACAAATGAACATACAAAAGAAGAAAAGCTTAATGATGAACCTTCTGAATTTCGTCGATCGAGACTTGGATGGATAATAAACCACCCTAGAAGTAGTATTATATACTCATCCAAACTGAAGGTGCTCCTATGCATCCAAATTGAAGGTGCTCTATGCTCCATTGCTGTTTTCTTATCCAAAGAGCACCATGCTCCACTGCTTTTTTTTAATCCAAATTGTGTTTTCTGTTTTCTTATCCATATTGTGTTTTCTCGTCCAAATTATTGTGTTTTCTGTTTTCTTATCCAAAGAGCACCATGCTCCACTGCTGTTTTCTTATCCAAATAGTGTTTTATGTTTTCTTATCCATATTGTGTTTTCTCGTCCAAATTGTTGTGTTTTATGTTTTCTTATCCAAATTGTGTTTTGTTGTCCAAATTGTATGTGCTGTTTACTTATCCAAATTGAACATGTGTTGACGAAGAGGTTAGGATACTTAGTGTTTTTCTTAGGGGTGTGAAAAGAATTTCATATAGAATGAGAATTTTCTTGTAGAGTGTTTTAAGTTATTTGTTGAGTTAGAAAAGTTTTCATATTTCAGAGTCCCTCGTATTTATAGGCTACGTTCTTTCCATACTCCTGGCCATCAATCCGTAGAGACGTTTTTCAAGCTACACCCATCTCTCCCACGATAAATATCAAAATATTCTTGATATTCCACACCCATCAAACCACATCTCTCATGGTCTCGTTATGCCATAAATCTTCATCTTTTAAATGTAGCTTTATGGTAATTTTCAAACTATTGGAGATTTATCCCACACGTCAAAGAGCTCTATCAAACCATGATGGTTGTATCCCATCAACATGTGGTTGACAGTTAGAAGATTACCACATGCTAGTCATTTTCGAACCACTTACGTACTTCACCTCACCACCAACCCGAAGATCAATCCTATTTCTGATAAGGAGTAGGATTCTCTGTTATCTCTTCCCTCATCTTTCCTCTTCTCTTTTCATATTTTTTTTGTCCTTTTTCTCTTAAAAAAGTAAATATTAATATGATTTAATTGTAACTGTTTAAATAAGAAATGAAAGGAGAAAATGACGAGAAAATATGAGATGAGAGAATCTTATCTCGTGTAAACTCAACCATATTCAATCAGAATAGCTAACTTAGATAACTCTTTAATAATCTCTCAAGATAATTATCCTGATCCAAAAAATAAATAATAATATCTTGAAATACCATTAAAATTGACTTATTTTTCTATCATCCCACGGCCAAAATGCGTAGTAAAAAACTTGAAAAATAGGGTACAAGCACCTTAGCCGATTTATTTATTAGGGACAAAGTGCGAAATCTTTTTTTGGGTCCACTGGGAAAGTGAAGATCGAGTAGTCTGTTTGTATTCTATTTTTTATTGTCATCCGTGATCCATTATCCACACAAATTTTATTAAGGGCAAATTTTTTTTGTGGTTTCTGTCATGACACGTCACTTTCAATGTAATTTTTGTGGTGAAAAAATTGTTAATTAAACCCTCGTGCTGAGTCTTGTTAGCAATTGAGGTCCAAATCCAAACTTCCATTAGTCTTTCGTTAAATAAACTCATGCGACTATCACATGGATCGGTCAAATACGTCATTTCAATTCAAATTACATCCTATTCCATGAACATCTAGTATGACTTAGGTATACACTAGTTCTTTCTGGGTGGGTTATGACATACACTTGTTTTTTTTTTATGTGAGTTAAAAAGTTGGCATCTGATTCTAGTGCACAAAGCAAATTGAAACAAGTGAAAATGAGAGATAATTTACAAGAAGAACTTAAAGAATTAAAGACAATGGGGGGGGAAATGCATTGTAGTATTTATGCATTTAGACGGGTGACAAACATTGCATAATTAAAAAAAAATTAAAGACAATGGGTGAAAGGTATTGCAGAAAATTCAATTTTCATGTCTGCCCTCCGCATATGAATTTCAAGAGCGTAAGAAACTTAAATAACCAAAATTCAAAGAAGAGTAAGAAAAAAATTGAAAGGTTGTGTACTGGTTGACTACGGTGTGTATCAAACCACACTACCAATTAAAGACAAAATTGAAAGGCGTATATGCATTTGGACTGGTACAGATTGATACAAGAATGAAAATTTAAGACAGACTAAGACTCTAACTCATGATCAAAGACGTGTTGACATTGAAAAAAACAATGGTTTATTACAAGTATTATGATTTCCAAACGAAATTAAATCGTACCTGAGAAATTAGGCGCAACTTCACTTTCACCTCTTCTCCTATCCATTGGTGTGGTTTTACAGGTTTTGTTTCACTCTTTGCATTTCAAGCTTATTTTATGTGAAATCTTATTTCCGTTAAACACTAACTCATACTAGATGTCTTTGGAATAGGATGTAATTTGAATTAAAATGATGAATTTGGGCATCCATGTGATAGTCACGTGAGTTTATTTAACGGAAGACTAACTGAAGTTTGGATTTGAACCTCAATTGCTCACAAGGCTCACCACGAGAGTTTAATTAAAAGTTTTTTTACCACAAGGGTCACATTGAAAATGCCGTGTCACCACATGGACCACGAATTTTTTTTGGCCTTTTATTACACAAAGCGCATAAAAATACAATGATATCCAGAAAGACCTTTACGTCTTGTGACTTATTTTTCTGGTTTTTAACATAACAGACAAGATTACATAAAAGATTTTCGGCGGACTTTAACTACCACATTAATCACGATGCATTGATTTGGAATAATTAATTCGGTTGTTGATCATGATCGGACCTTTCGAATCTTGGACTTGAGAAGTTTTTCTAGCTCTGGAGTTATATTAAGGGATATTCGCAGCACCTCCGGTGATAATGCTCCCAATGTTGATGTCTTTCCAGCTAAGTCTTCCACGACAGGCCTGCAAATATAATTCCAATTAGTATTTTATGAATTATGAGGACTTACATGACATAGTTATACGGCTGATGTAGTATTCTATACCAATTACATAATGTCATGTGTAGAGAAACTAACACTTCATGTTGTAGGATTGGTAAGGGACACTATATTAGCGGTGTATTCGTGTCATGTATAATGCTCCATTTGTATTTACATGTGTGTCAACAAATGCATCACTTTCGTTTGTCCAAATAGAATCACTCGCACTTCAGTATCGAACTGATTTCATTAGGAAAAAAAAAAAGGTACTAAAAGGAAGGTAGTGGTGTTGTGACAGCGCAATGTGCTTACTGAGAACTAGTCATGAGAGTGAAACACTCCAGCCCAGTATGTCCTGCAAGTTTAGCAACCATGAAGAACGTTGGTACCACAAGCAGCTGCCCAGCAGTTACCTCCGCGTCCAACAAACGTTGACCGTTAACACCCACGATCTGTATCCGGCCACTCCCTCGAGCAATATAAATCACTTGGACTATGGAATCGGCTGTGTAAATTGGAGAGCTGATTGCGTTGGCCTCAAGTTTTGTGAGGTTAACACTTAACCCAGCTTGTTTAAGAAAAGGAAATTCCTTTTCAGTTAATGTAGTTGTACTACTAGTACTGATGTTGTGAACAAATTTGTCGGTGAGTTTTAGATTGGGGAGGGGCATTTTGGCTTTTTCATCTTGACCTAGCTTGATGATCAAAGCCCCAGTCTGGCTTTTGGTGATGCCATCAGCTTCATCCTCGGTGATGTTGAAGGACTTGCTGACAAATTCTGTTGAGAAACCTGCAAGTATACTTAGGGTTCCGGCAATAAAAAAGTACGAAAATTGACCGGGAACGTGGGCTCCGGCAGTTTCACCCATGAAAACAACAACAAGCTCCTCAGAGTGATCAACATTGTTGAACCACCATGAGATTGTTCCAACTGGTAATGGTATCACATCTCCTTTCTTAACCCTAACCACCACCTCCTCTGATGTGTTAGGGAAGACCATTCCTACTAATCCATCATTACCTGCATCACCATTTGGTGCTAGTTAAGATCTTCAAACTTCTTTGTTCCCCAAATAACAAATCCTTGACATATAGTTACTGGTTTCATGCGAGAACCTGAATCTTAACTATTGATCATGTTGATTATTTGGGTCAACCTGATCGATCAGGTCGTAACAAAGACGATAGTTAATGCTAAAATCTTTGAACTTCTATGATCCAATAACAAAGAGCAAATTGTAGCTATAGCCCTCTAACTTTAACTTAATTGGAGCAATGGTCACTCAACTAAAAATTCATTATCATTGGTCCCTCAACTTTAAATCAACTGGAGAAATGATTTCTTAACTTTAACCTAATTGTAGCAATGGTCCTTCCAACATAACTCGTTTTGACAAAATTTTTTACTAGTTGACGAAAATGACCATAATTACACACTTTGATAGTTGAGGGACCCTAATTATATAAATGGTTATTCCAACATAACTTATTTTGACAAAATTTTGACGAAATTGATGAAAATGACTATAGCTACACATTTTGATAAGTTGAGGGACCAATGGTAATAGATTTTTAGTTGAGGGACCATTGCTCCAATTTGATTAAAGTTGAGGGATCATTGTTACAATTTACTCCAATAACAAATATAACATATTGTTATCTTGTCAAATTGTGAATCTAAACTAGTAAAGATTATATGGGATTTTCTTCATCAACTTGTTTATCGCTTGGGATATGTGGTTCAAATTCATAACAAACTATATAATATAAGCATTATAGTCTAGCAACTAAAGTATGATTTGTTTTCCATCATATAACTAGTTATAATAACAAGGGCATTGATGAATAAAAAAGAAACTTCTGTATTCAACCTTTTTTAATTACATGTACAGAAAGAGAGATTTTTTAGTGTGCACAGACGGAACGGAACACTACATTTTCATTATATAAATTCAGTTAATTATATATGTAGTTGTAGGCTGTAGTTAATAATTAGTTATTAATTACCTTGAAGAACATATCCCAGTTTGGAGGAATCTGCATGGTGAGGAAGAGCGAAGCCATGAGGTTGAAGAACAAGCTTGCCTGCACCAACCTTGGCCTCACCAAGCACTGGAACATCTGAACTCGACCAAATGTAATATGCTCCTCCATCTCCTTCAAACAACTTCTGGGCTGACTTGGGTGATAAGTCCATCCCATCCATTGATAAAATTATTTCCTTGAAAAAAATCATCCAAAAAGCCAAATCAACATCTGTTTTTAATTAGCTTTTACAACAAGACGATCTTTTTTAACCAGTCTAATCTACAAGAACGGAGATTTCAAATTGTCGTCAACTGGTCTAACCTAGCTACATACTCACAACTTAAACAGGAAAAACAAGAGCCCTCAAAAGAGACGAAGAGCAAAGGAAACGTAAGTACAAGAAAGCATCTGGACCACAGAAAACAAAAGCCTACAAACAAAGCGGTAGAGCTAGGCAAGAAAAAAATTAACCGAAAAAAAATTTACCTTTAAGTTTGAAGACAGATGAGCTAAATACTAGAATTTTTTTCAGCAAATTAAGCCTATGACTAAGGATATATATAGGAAGTTTGGAGTCGACTACATATTTTGCTTCGGTCACATTTTCCACGTTGACTTTGGTGGCATATGCACAAAATGGCAAATGCGGGACATGTGGAAGTTGTGTTACATTCCTAAATAGTGGAAAATGGAAATTTACATCCTTATGTGATGGGCTCCTCCATTGGAGAGTGTTAGTTTTGTTTGACTTGGTAAACAAATACAACCCACCAAATAGGAATAGATTATGAACATTTTTATTATTATTATTATAATTAAAGGATTAAGTACCTAAAACTATACATTTTAGTGTCATTCCAAATTGATCACATCCCTTTTAAACATTTCAAACAAGTACCCAACATATTGAAAATATCACACCCGTTGAGCTGTAGATAAATTTTTGTTAAATTAACTAGGGATTCCTTTGTCTCTAAAATAAAATAATAGAAGGTCATGGATCATTGAACATTATAGTTTATATTAAAATTTAATGGAATTCAAAAAAATTTATGGCGACCACAAACTAACGGTCACCACCATCCCCATCAGGCCATCATCTCCAAACTCAAAGCACAATCATCAACTCCACCCTACAATTCAAGCCCCCAACATCAAAAAGAAGGTTATGGAGGTTGCTAAAATGGTATGGACTGCCATGATGCAGCCACCACCATCTTCACTGCACACAAAGAAGAACTGGAAGCTTTACGACCCGAGAATCGACGATTAAGGAAATCACATGAGCATAAACAAGCTTCTTAAAATCCTATATGAATTCTTAACCCTATTATTTGTTAGGAGATCACCGTCCTGATGTAATGTTAATCTGGGTCCATTTTTTATTCACTTCAATAATAGTTTGATCATTGGGTTCCATATTCTATAATCTATATTTGAAATTTAGATTTTGAGGCAATAAATACTAGGGAACTTTAACGAAAAGCACCCGGTACTGTTCACTTTAACGAAAAACCACATTTTTACACTAAAAAGTCAATCATGGTACTATTCACTTTACCCTTTATTTTGTCCTTATCATTAAAACTCAAAGTTTTCAAGGCCTTTTCATTAGTTTTCCTTAAATACTAAGGTCATCTCCAATGGAGATGGCTAAAGGGTTAAAGGGTCAAAAAATTGTCTGATTTAGACAAAATTCAACTCCAACCAAAGACTAAGCTAAAATCAATAAAGCCCACTAGACCAAAACATAGCCAATAGGGCATTAGGCTGGTCAAGTTTGCTTGATAGCCAGCCCGTTTGCTGGGCCTAGCAGCAAATCCTAAGGCCACTTTTGAAAGCATCCAACGGCATCTACCATTGTCCCGTAACCACCCCCACTAGATTTAGTACTGACTGCAGCAATGGAAATCTCAAGCTCTTCGGCCCAATTTTTTGATGCGACAAAAAGTAGGCTGCCTTGCAAAATATATTATACTTATTTCAAGAATATAGATGTAAAAAATGAAAACTAGCGAAAAGTTCAATTTTTTTTAATTTTTAATGAAAAAAGATAAATAAATGTGTAGTGAATAGTACCAGGGAAAGGTAAAAATGTGGTTTTTAGTTAAAAGTAAACAATACCTGGAGTGTTTCGTTAAAACTTCAATGTAAAAATTCTATGTTTGGGTAATACGTATAAGACCATTAGTAAAAGCTTAGTGTGTATTTATAAATTTATAATCATTAGAATCAACAATTAATCTTTTTTATTATTTGTTGAAATGCTTGTGATAAATCATTTTAAGTTGTCTTCAAGTGAAAAAAGTTGTCTTTCACATGACACTTAAGCAATAAATTCAAAGAATAATTAATATAAATAAACTATTGAAGGGGCTATGTTTATTGGAGATGGTATATGAATATGACCTGATACTATTCATTAAAAAATAATTTCTTGCAGAGCTATAATTCTGGACGGAGTTATGTTTAGTCTATTCGGTTAGAGATGGCCTAATGTGGACCATGATATACCTATTTGGTAGGTTTTAAATATAAAAGTTGGGATGGGGTTGCATTGGTCATAGTTTGAGCTTGGAGGTGGCAAGGGCTTGATATTTTCCGATCTTCATTTTTGTTTTCTATTGAGCTTGGATATATATATATATTAATCAACACTCAAGTAATAATTCAATCATCAACTTCTATGTCATTTAGATTACAAAATTTAGTCTACAAATTTAGTCTCCCTAACATTACTCTATTAATTTACACCTACTTTCAATGGTTTTGAATAATGTGACTACTAGATTTCTTTTGCTTAATTTATATGCGTTATTTTATTCAAATTTTATTTATCAGTTGTACTCAGCTCATGTTTGATCAATTGTGTTCAATTGGGGGGAGAGATGAGAAGGAAACAAATAAAACGTATGAATAAAAGAAAAGGAGAAGAGAATAGCAAGGGAAAAGAGACAAGAGAAGAGAGAGAGAGAGAGAAGGGAAGAGGAAAGCGGACTCGTAATCTCTACTATTATAAAATCAAGTATCTGCTTTGGTGCAATATGCTTCAACAAAAATAATTGGACACAAATGCCTCTGAGAAACAAGAAAACTCTCTTTGTACGAGCTACAAAATTACTACATATGTGCTTGTGTGAACCGTATATGTGCGAGCTACAAAAAAAAAACTTATAGTAAATTAGGCTAAAATCAATTGAAATTTATAATTATGCAAAACAAGAAATAGAAACGTCATTAGACGCCCAAAATTGGCGTCATGCTTTTTCATTTAGGTGGGCGTTTGACATTTCACTTATATATATATATATATATATATATATATATATATATATATATGAGAGTGCGTCAACAATATGATCAATATTGCAAGTACAATTAATGTAAAAGAAAATCCTCTTGTGTGAATGTGTCAAAGGAGAAGTTAATTTATCTGGACACAGAAAACCGAAGCTTACAAGCAAAGAGATATAATACAAATATGTGAGAAAATATCACCTTTAAGTTTCGTGAGTGAAGACAAATGAGCTATCTATCTAGGGTTGCCTCCCCTCCAATTTTCCTTCTCTTTTGTCCCCTCCTCTCACATTTTTGTTGTATTTCTCTCTTTATAAAGAATGCAACACAAGATGTTAACATAGCTTATTCGTGGCCGTTCGGATAGGAGGAGAGGAAGGGGAGAGAATCCTAGTTCCTTAGAAAATGGCCTCTATTTTATTGTTATACATTGCATCAAGTTGTGAAAATTAATTGGACATTTGTTTAAAGTGATAAAAGTTAGAGAAATGAGTCCCAAAGCGGTGAATATGACAAAATAATATAAATAATAAGAGAGTTTCTTTTTTTTTTTACGCAAGTATCATCGAAGACTTTGATGATAAAACCTAAGATCTAATAATAGGTGATTAAGTTGAGATAATATCCACGCTATTTGTGGTGGACCTTGATAAAGTTTATCAATAAACATGTTCAAAATATGTTTCTCACAACGTCAAAATTCTTTCTAAGTGTACGATGTGGTTGATATTTGATGGATCAAAGTCCCCATCCACCACCCCCCATGTCCGTGACAAAAGTATGTTGGACCCGTCATGTAGTTTGCCCCATGTGACTACTAGATTTTTTTTTCTTAATTTATATGCGTTATTTTATTCAAATTTTATTTATCAATTGTAAAATACTAACTAAACAGTTTAGAGCTCACAAAAACCATGAAGCTTGCAGATAAGTTCAACTGCTCAATTCCCTATAAACATGTTTAACACTGACTAATTAATACGGGTGAGAACGGTATGGTTCATTCCCCGCGCCCCCCACAAACAAAAAAAATGGAAAATCTAATCAAATAATAGAACTGTTTGGGTTAATATTTGAACTTTGGGCTGAAGGAAGAGAAGCTTGAAAAAGAAGCCCAGGAAGCATGATTATGCTCGAAGGCCCATCATTAAACCCATTCGCCCAGCCCAAGGCAAAATGATGATTCCACATTTAATGCAAAAGCTAGTGGCTTGAAAGAAGTGACACTTGATGGAAATCAGCCTACTTTCAGCCCAAAAGTACTTTCTGAATGACAGAGTACGTAAATTACTGATAAGTCATTACCCCTCAGTTGCTTTCGGGCAGAAACCAAGCTGCAAGTAGTTAGGCTAATTCGCCTATAAAATGAGCAAGAAGGCCTAGAGACAAGGACACTCAACCAATCAAACAAACAAATACACAAACTCTACTCAAGCCAGATTTGCATACGAAGGTGTAGTCAGCCCCCAACCTCAATCATTTTCAGGATCAGCCCTCATAAAAACCATCTTTTGTCTAGTTTAATAGCTCTGCTGCTCACCAGTAGTATCGATTCTCTTGTGTAACTTTATTTGTCATCCATTCTCCCTTGAAACTCTCGGATCCCTGTAGTGGCAAAGAAAAAAATGGCGAAAGATCCAACATTGTCCGACAAGGTTCAATCTTGCTCGATTCCTTTTGTTTTGTCTTTTAATTAATAGATCTGGTGTTATAATGAATTCCCTAGTATGTATTCAAGTCATGTTAGGTCGTTTAATGATCTAAAGTTTAGCTTACTCTAAGTTCTGGTTTTAGTTAAATAGTTTTACTATCTTAAGAGTGAATCCACTTAATGCCTTGATTAAATCCAGACCTATGCCATTTTACCATACAAGATGAACAAAAGTCCTTGATCTCAAGGCATAGAAAAGAATCTAATGTGGACTTAACTCATCCATGACAATCCTTTGATAATGAGAAGTTAGAGCAACTTGGGGCGCAAGTAATCAGCTTAAATCTACTCATTTTACATCTGCCATACTGAGATGGCAGTGGCACGCCTCAGCACTTAAGTTAGTTTTGACTGCGAGCCTCACGGCCTATACTTAAGGCCCGACAAAGGCACCTTTCAGAATTAACTATGTCCTCTTCTTGCAGCCCGACGAACAAAGCGAGA